CAAGTGATTTGCTCGCTTGTGATTGGCCAGTTTGTCATTCGACCTGCGGTAATTTCAAACATCATTTATCTGCTTGGTTAAGTTCGCAACTGCCAGGAGCGTTTTATGAAGTCGGGTGCATAATTGACAGCACATACTATTACAGCTCATGTTAGATTTGATAAACCAGAGGATTTATTTGCTGAATTCAATGAATTCACCCTATATCAAGATCAAAACAGTATATGTAGGTAAATCCACATATACTGTTTTCCTGTCACGAAGACCGCAAAGCAGGTATCAGATGTCTCAGTAAGTAATACATGTAGGCTACATGTTTTTAGTTGAAATAAACTGGGTCTCCATAACCTTTCAGGATTAATCTTGAGTTCATTTGGAATAAGCTAGTTGACCACATCAGTATTGCGAGAGTGCAATGAAAGTAAGTAAACACCTACTTCATAAGATTAAGTGATACATTTAATTGATATGATTGTATAATAAGTAGTTGTCTATCTAAGTTAATGATGGATTCGTTGCGATAATAATACCTACTATTGTTAATGCTGTCAAAACTCGTATTATTTGTCTTAAAGCTGTTGTCACTTATTAAAATCTTTGTTCAAGCTTATAGCTACTTATATATATTGTTTGTGATTACTTGTAAATGCCTATGATTCAGATCACACATGTAACATCTAAGTTAATAATGCTTTTCTTAAACCTTTTCAGGCTTATGGAGAAACATATTTGTGCTGGTACGCAGATGAAACCTACTGACAGTGACGGAGGACTACTCATCTGAATTATCTGTACATCTTAAATCTAATTTTTGTTTAATAAACACTTTTGTAATGAATCTGTGTTCCTTCTGTTGTAACGCGATTGTGTCCCAGTGACGTTAGTAACACGTGCTAAGTTAGGAATTAAGGGCAAACTTTTAGGAGTAAATGCGGCCTCTGGGAAACTGTTGTTTACGCGATTACATGAACAGATAGCAACGTACCGTGTTCTGTAGCTGCGAACCGTAGGCATTCTGTATTTAATTAATGCGATAACCGTAGTTGCACTTAGTTACACATATGGAACAGTATAGGTACATTATTACCATCTTGGTTTATTACGATAAGTAGAAATCGCAAGCTAACTATCTCAGGTAGATTTACTTTTAACCTTGTTTGACTATGAATCCGAAGTCAATTAATAGGTTCCTACTAAGACGATATATAACTAAGCGCTTATAACTTCAATGTTTCCTTTTACAAGTGGACGCAGTAAGTTCATTACGGCACGACAGAGTCTTTTTATCAATAAGCCTCTCCAAATATCTAATTTTACCTAGCATTTTTAAGATCACGTCAAATACTCCGTACCTCACAAATTACGCAAAGGCTACAAATCAGCTTTATCAACTAGAATATACAAACGAATTACGAGGAATACATTTATTAATGAATAAACATGTAATACATAATCAAAAACACGGCAGATATCTTTTTCTTTATCGCCCAAATCCATGAAATTCTCGAAAGCAGATATTATCTGAAAAAGAACAAAACAATTCTAAAGATGTAGACATTGTTACCACTGTAAATGCAATAAATAACTACTTAACATGTTTAAAATCATGAAATAATCAGTTTAATTGTATACAACTACATCAGTCAATATTTTTCAGGAAGACAAAATGGACATTGTATCTACCTGTTAACATCAAGTATATGCTATAAAATAAGTAAATACTATGCGTATATAATTTCTAGGTATTTCTGTAGATTTACTTTAATGAAATACATGTACAGGAGCTTTGACAGCATTAGCAGAAGTAAACAACAAAGTAAATCAAATAATCAACAAAACCAACTATCCCACCTCATCATGTCCATGTATAATCCTTTAAACTGCAAAAAAAATTCACTAAGAGTCGTTATAATATGTCTATTCAAGTAATTCGACATTTTCCGAACGCAAAAGTACGTAATTCAACAATTTGTAAATTGGCCGTAAATTACGGCCGGATAAGGACACCATCATTTCCTGTTTATGCTAAAAACGCCTTATTACATCAACTTTTAGCAGCAATATAGGTGTAAAAGTGTGTAAAACAACGAAAAATCACCTATTTTCGAAGTTTTTTCATTAAATAAAGCCGCTAGACATCAGCAGATCAAATGACCTACGGCCGTCTACAGGCTGCCAGCTTGGATTTGAAACCAAAATATGAAATAGGTAAGATGCTTACTGTTTTCTTATATAGAATCACGTGCATTAAGGTGAAAAATTACTTTGTTTCCATGGGCCTCTTATGTATGAGGCGAAATGTCTAGACGTCAAAGTGAAAGAAGATGGTGTAATGTATTTTGTGCATTACCAAGGTTGGAATAAAAAGTAATAATATTTCAGTATTGATTTACGTTTTGATATAGCTGGGATGAATGGGTGACAGAGAAACGTATGTTCAAGTATAATGAAGAGGGTTTGAGGAAACAAAAAGAATTAGAGCGACAAATGTAACTTGTGTAAAGCAATGTTTCTGATCATGATGCTTCTTACAATTTTCAGAAAATCGGGCAAGGTTAAAGTTTTGAGGAAGTCCGACTTAAAGTCACAGTCATTGCCACCTCCAGAAGTCCTGGAGGACGTGGAACGGACATTGAAGCCTGGTCAAGTGAAACAAGGTGAGATATTACCCGGTTGTATACTAAGTGGCGCTATAGAGGAAGATGCTCCTAAGGCCAAGAGCGTAAAGACCAACAAAGAAACCAACGGGAAAACTGATACTCGTGTACCTGCTGATTTGAAAGAGACTGAAGATATTAAACCACCCATTAAGTGTTGTGAAGATGCAAACACACCGTCTACTCAATCTGTCACAGTATCAAGTAGGAGAAGGAAAGGCCGAGTGTCATCAGTGCTGAAGTCTCTTGAAAATGCAAGTATTTCGTGTTTATTGTGACAGAATTTTTCATTCTATGCGATTTAAATTTGTTTTTCCGAGATGGTTTGTACTTTGGTATTGTGATTCATTTTGTGAGATAAAAAATTCCTCTTTGGAGGAGATAATAAAGTAGCAGCGTCGTGTCAAATGACAATTTTAAGTCCATATTTGTGTTATCTAGCTCACTCGAAACGTATTTAAACACTGTGACCACTAGTCCTCATGAGATTGTCCTCATTAATTTAATTTTCTGTATGTTCACTCCTGCGAACAAATTCCCTTTTCTAACTGTCCTCTGGTTTTCAAATCCTCTTGAAAAGTTGTTCATGAAACTAAATATTTCTTTGAGCTAAAGCTGTTTTTCAAATCAAGATAATAAAGATAGAAAGCTCTTCTGGTCTGCGTTATTCCTTGAAATATACATCTCTGCAGAAATCTAATTTCTCTCTTTGAAAGCGTTCACCGATGGAGCTGTTACTACTGAATCAGGTAAGGAGTTGCAATTGTTGACCATTCTGTGAGAGAATCTAAATTAAATTGTAGATGTATTTTTATTCGACCTAGGTCTGAGCACCTTTTTGCGGTGAAGACTATGAATTCCTAAATCATCCTTTACTGCACGGTATGCCAAAATTAAGTCACCTCTCCTCCTCCTTCGGTATGATAATGGAAAGAGATTTGAATGCTCCATCCTCTTGTCATAGGAAGGTTTGGGTTACCACTAATTAATTTCGTTCCTACCCTCTGTACTCTTTCTAGGATTTGTGCCCTCTTTTTGAAGCATGAAATCACCGCTTGTATGCAGTACTCTAGATGAGGCCTGCTGACATACGTTGCATAGAGTACTTAGAACAAAGACTCGTCTAGTCGTTCGTTTGAAAGCCCTTCAAAGTACTCATGGCATTCTAGTATTAGCTGCAGCTCGATTACAATTTTCGGTTGTTTTTGCGTCATGGTTTACAATAATTCCTAAGTCGTTTTGTCCCTTAGCATCTGGCAGTTCTTTGTTTCCCAGGGGGTACGATGTGTGGCCAAGTTAAACTTTAAGCACCACTAATTAGATAGAAGGAGTAGCATGTTGACAAGAAACTGAGCGGGCTTGTAGGTGTTGGGAGCAAAAGCATTATTTTTTTATATGTATGTATTCATACTCTCAACTTTACCGTTATATTCTTCACTGTTTTTCATATCTCAGGAAGATGGCCTTCTGTCTCAGCCTCGTTTATCGATGTCACTGCCTCTATCTTTGAAATCTTGGCTTATCGATGACTGGGATTTGATTACTCGTCAAGCTCGGGTAAGTAATCTTCAGTTGCGTTATATCATCCAGTCAGCAAAGCAATTTCCAATTTTTTAGCGTTGGTCGAAATTTGTTAATTTAGTGATCAATTTGGTCACTTAGATGTTACACAGTATGTACCTTGGCTCACCTTGGTTCCGGGTGATCAGGAATGTTCTCATCTTGAGTGTTGGTTGGCTCGCCACCGTTGCATCTCGATGGGTTGAAAATCGCAGTGAAGCCTAGTCGAGAGTGCATTCGGATGTGTAGTAGTTTTTGTTACAGGGAGAAACCTTGCGACCCCCACCCCTCTCATCGTTCAGAGAATTCAACGATGTATCAAAATTCCATTATTATTATTGTTATTATTTGAACAAAGCAAGAACAACAGTGGTTATTGCAGAATAAAGTGACTGGTACCATCTTCTATTTCGTTGCTTTCTCGTCAGCTGCTTACACGCCAAAGACATTAAGTAGTATATCTACAAAAACAATTTTAACATACTTGCGCAGAGGTCATCTGTTTTATCTCATCATTTAGGTCTTTTCTTGTTCGGTTTGTAAGACACTTAACTTAACTAAGCCTGACTTAACAGACAGATAACGGATGAGACGAATTGAAGTCTAAACATCTATGAGGATAATGCGTTGGTTTTTTTTATAAACGCCGCTAGTGTGAAGTTTACCGTCTTCTATTCGTTTTATTTTACAATCTAACATCATAAAAGCTAATTCTGCTTGTTTATTTACCGATTCAAATGTGACTTTTATTCCCCCTACTAGTGAGTTTATGTGTGTGTGTCAAGAAGCTAGAGGTTTTCCTTTCTAAAAGTTATTTTTTCTTCGGTTAAATTTTCACAGCTTTATGAACTGCCTGCCTCTCAGCCAATATGTAATGTTTTATCAGACTTCTTAGAAGCTTCTGAGGCTGAAATTAGTCAGAAGTCAGAATCAACTGGTGAAATAAAAGAAGACTGCACTTCTTCTGAACCTGAGAACTCTCAGCTGACTACTACTACTACTACTAAGTTGCCAATAAATCCGCGTGTACGGCGTGAATTTGTTGTTGGAATTCAGCATTTTTTCAATCTTACTATTGGTTCTCATCTTTTATACAAATTTGAACGATTACAATATGCTGAGCTATTGAAACATCATAGAGATAAGAGAATGTCAGATATTTATGGTTCAATTCATTTGTTGAGGTTGTTTGGTAAGTCTTAATGTTCCCTCCTTTATGATGTGTAAAACTTGCGCACTATGATGGTGGTGATAGTAAGAAATTCCATATTAGTTTGTTTATTAGATGTATCACATAGTCAGCGAAACAGTACTTATATTTACTGGGTGACGAGGTTTCGAAGGCAATTCATTATTGTTCATAATCATTTCATCAATTATAATCACACGACTTTGATACTTGAGTTTTAAAGTTTTCTTCGTCCTCTCCTATTTGTCGTCGTCATTGGGGTAGTAGAATTTTCCAGATATCTGTGTGGACAGGTGTTGAATCATTCCTATTACACGTGTTTGCAGTTGATTCGATAAACCACCCAGTCGGTGGGTGCATGCTGCTAAAAAGTATTTTAGTTGATGAAATCCTCCATGCAATCAAACACAAATCCCTACAAAACCAATACTTGAAAATTAATCTGATGCTCACTAGCGACTGACCCTATGCAGTTAGGCAGTTAGGCACCTGGGGTTCTGGTGGGAAGCCGTGACTAGTAGGGTACAGCAGGTTGAAGTTGAGGCAGTAACTCACTCATCGAAGAAGATGACATTGCTAAATGGTCGCGCTATGTTGTGCGTGAATTGGCAGAAGTTAGAATTCAAGGACCATTGGATCGGGTTCCAGTGGCTCAATGGTCTGCGAGCTAGCTAGCTAGCTTGCCTTGTAATCAGAGGGTCCTGGGTTCGAACCCCGTCAGTAGGGTGGGTGCGTACTGCTGAATAGCCAATCCAAAACTGGGACGGGGGAAACAGCTGTCTGGCAGTACTCCCTGGTTGGTTTTCCAATGGTTCTCACTAACTTATGTCAGCTCATGATAAATGAAATCCTCCATGCAAATAACAGGTATGTACATAGTTTTCAAGCTCATACAACATACATACAACAATTCATGTGAATTATTGAACCTAAAAAATGTCTGTCTTTTGAAACATTTTTACTGTTTATAGTTAAACTCCGAGATATGGTTTCATGCGTCCGAGTCGATGCGCATAGTCTCCCTATGCTAGAAGCTTCAGTTGCTAAGTTTTTGCAGTGAGTGTTTTTTAAAATATATTTTGATTTGACACTAGTCAGTAACTAGTGTGTGTGTGACGTGTCTGGCTAGTCCTTTCGTTGTTTGATGCAGACTGAATTCTATCAGTCAGTCAGGTTTGCAATGTGGCCACCATGCCAATAGATAGCTCGCCATCATGGTGCACACATTGATTTGATGATATTAGATAGTTGTAGGCAATCGGCCAGAGGAAGTCTTGACCGGACTCGTTGTAGGTGGCGGTCGAATATTTTTGCAACGTTAGCTTACTTCTAAAAGATGGGAATCACTTACCTATTATTTATATTTCTGTCATTTGATACCGTAGAGTTTGCTGGTAAATAATTATATTCCAGTTGACAGACTCAATAAAGGATAAAATATGTATATATCTCGGATCCTAATGCAGGCCACAACCAAAAAGAACCCAATGTTGAGTACTTGTTTTTATTAAAATTACTGCTCAACAGTCCACTCCGTCCTCCTTTAATGGCTGGCTGTGAGAAATGGGCATTGAGAGTGGAAGACATGAAAAGGCTGGCTAGCTGTCTTCGATCATACGTGCCTACCTGCGTTCTATCTCCCGTGTTAGTTGGTGGTATAATAAGGTGAGCAATAGTGAGGTGAGGCATCGGTCGAGTGGTAGGTAAGCAGGAGAGGAAATCAATTGACAATGAGGCTGTGAAATTACATCGACTGAGTGAGGTGGTTAGGACATGTGTTACATATGCATGCCTGGTCATCGCCTTCCTCGACAATGGGCAATGTTAGGTGACATAGGATTGGTCAGGGTGGAAAAGAGCTAGCTAGCAGCGGTCAAACGAAAACATGGCTTCACTCGTCAATGAAATCCACAACAGTTAGTTTAAGCCAGCCAGACAGCCACGTAGGAAGTTGTAGATTGGCTTCCTGACTGGTTGGGGTCCTCGGGATGGACAGTGAAAACCAATGAAGGCTGGAAACAATTGGTGATATGGCTCAAATGAAACTATATTGTTCTTCGTTATTACTATTCCTTTGTCTAGATTCAACATAGAACTTGGCACCGAAGTGCATCAGTTCGAGTTGCCACGTTCCAAATAGCACACAAAGGTAGACAAGAAAATGAGTGAAGAGAATCAATAGAGTTTTGACAAGTATAAGAGTGAAACAGAATTAGTAGTGGTAGAAAGGAATATGAAAGATTACACAAGAGACTGAATACATCTGCGTAAGCCATTGACAACGATTTTTAGCCATGTCACCTATTGTCTCCAGCCATTGATTCTTAGAGTCCCGAGGGCGGGCCCCAACCCGGAAGTCTGTATCTCCCTACCTGACTCAGTTAAACTGTCAAGGATTTCATGGATTGATGAGGCCATGTTTTTGTTTGGCATGGCACCGCTTACTCTTTTCCAACCTGCACCAATAACAGCTAGTAATGCCCGTCGGGGGAGGCGGTTGTTAGGCATGCGCAGCACGTGACCTAGCTATCCCTATCTATGTAACTTTATAGCCTCGTCGATCGACTTTCCCTCTTTGCCCAACACTACGCCTAATTTGACGTCGACATTACTTGCCTTATTATACCACCTAACGTGAGAAAGAGATCGTAGACACCTATGATCAAAAATAGTCAACCTTTTCATGTCTTCAACTCATATTGGTCATGTTTCAGAGCCATAGAGAAGGACGGAGCGAACTGCTGAGCATTACACACGTCCCTTGGTTGATAGTCGGATGTCACGCCTACGCCAGAGATGGTGTAAGTTAGCGAAAGGAGCCCGGGCTTTTTGGATCCGTGCTGAGATTTCGTCACCAATCAATCCATTGGTGCTGATACAACTTCCCAAATAGGTGAACTGGTCAACATGTTCTATCACTTCACTCCCTATCACTAAGCTAGGGGTAGATGTAGTCCAGTCCTGTAGCAGCATCTTACATTTTACATGGGCGAATCGCATGCCAAACATACGAAAATCGCTGCTCAAGTTGTTCAAAAGAGTCTGCATTTTGTCAGCATCCTCCCCTAACAGGCCAATGTCATCTGCATATTCTAAGTCCATAAGACTATTCCCTGGTAACAAGTCGATTCCTAAGTCGTTAAGTTCAGAAGGATTCACTTCTAATTATTCCACTGGTTTATATGAAGCTTTATTAGTCGGCTTCTCTCTCTTTTCCTGTTTTTTAGGTTTCTGCTACAAAATGAAAGCCGTTACTTCCGAATTGAGGATTACAGTGTGGCGACGGCAGAATATCAACGAAGAGCGATGTGTTAAATGTGCATATAACTAACTGTCACCGCTGTAAAAATGATACGTATGCTCTGAAATATAATGTATAATATAATTCCCTTATTAGTTTGTTTATCAGATGTATCACACAGTCAGTGGGTGAAACAGTATTAGTATTTACTGCATGACAAAGTTGTTTCGAACACAATTCATCATTATTGCTGTTCATAATCATATCATCAATTATAATCACACGACTTTGAAACTTGAGTTCTATAGTTTTCTTTGTTGTCCTCTCCTATTTATCTTCGTCATTGGGCGTGGTAGTAGAATACTGCAGATATCTGTGTGGACAGGTGTTGAATCATTCCTATTACACGTATTCACTCTCAGTTGATTCGATAAACAAAGCTTCCGTTGTTATCAATCTCTCCCTCCTTACACCCTGCTGTGACATTAGATTTTAAAACTGTCATCTTATCCCATCCTGCCTTTTGTATGGTTGTGTGTGTGTGATCGCATGTAGTGTTTGCGATAGCTGCCGAACTATTCTCTAGATTTCTTATCTTATTCGGGTCAACTAATCTAGATTTTGCTGATAGGTTTTTATGCTGCTCGGTTAGTCTGACTCACTCACTGACCCTGTTCTACTAGTTTGACCCATGTATTTGACGTGACAATCATTCCAGCAGGCAGGGTATTAGATAAACTAAATTTTTATGTTTTAAAGGCTCCACAGAATTGATCCTTCAACTGAAAAAACTTGTTTCTAATTGAGTTCGTGGTTGGTTTAACTGCCAGCCAGCTTTTTTGACACAATCTTCAAGCAATAATTTTTCGTAGCCTGCGCGCGAAGCTATTTGACGGGGAGACGAGTGTGGTGAGAGCTGTCTACTAGCTAAATTGGTAGACAGTAATTCACGTCAATATTTACGTTCCCAAGATTTGTCGTGAGAAAATGTGAACAAAGATTGATTCAAAACCGACCACAGCAGACTTTGCGTAGGCGGATGCAGTTAACATATAGAGGATTTGACATTCAAGAAACAGTCACAAATAGATGAAAGATTAACTTTACGTGAGAAACAACCACCAATCGGAAGACTGTGTTTGTTTGCTTAAATATCCATAGTAATGTACATGCAAATATATAAATATGCGTTGATTTCCTTAATAAATGATCTGTTCCCTGACTCTTGCTTTCTGTCGTTACATTGTGATCGAAAGTCCAAATATCTGTTTGAATGTGAGGGTTTCCTGTAAACACACACTAGTGTGTTTAACTTCGCATCTTCTTCCCTTTTTACGTTGCAATCTGACATTGGAAGCTCCCTCGCTCCCTGACTTTCCAATTCATCATAAGTGAATTGAATTGCCTCTACCTTTGAGTTATAATGTGTTCGAAAAATCTATCTATATCCTGTGTTATAAGTACAGTGAATGTGTCATCTACATACACCTCCACCACATTTTTGGGGATGGGGGTGAAAGTTTCTGTGGCTATGTTTTCACACCTATCCATGAATATATATCTGGTACAACCTGGACAAAGCTTGTTTCTGATTGAGTTTGTGGCTGGTTTGAATGCCAGCCAGCGAGCTTTTTCGACCCAATCTTCAAGCAATATTTTCGCATGGATAGGTAGATAGATAGATAGATAGATATTGGATATGAGTGTAAATATTCGTGTTATCGATGATGACAGCCCTTTCTTCTGTGTTGACTAAGATGCGATGCTGTTCAAAGGAATTTTTTCCTTCACGTTCCCCAGTGGAACATACAGCTCCAAGCTAGTGGCTTGAAGTTTCCATAGCAATGAATTTTGAAGGATGGGGTTGCTAGCCTCATGCCCAACCTTTCCTCTCCACCAGTTTTATTTCTGGCTTAGTGAGGTAAAGGAGTGCGTCGGCCGGGGGTCGAAGCCCGGATCATGTGCATGGTCAGTGAGCGTCCTAACCGCTATGCCACCGACGCACTTTCAAAGGAATGCTCCAAAAAAAACGATTAAACTCTACACACACACACCGTGCTAAAAATCTTTGTGAAATGAAATTTGTTTTTGAAGCCTTTTCTTTTGCCTACACGCTGATGAAGTGTATAAAATACAAATATGTATGCCTCACTATAAAACCTGAATGTTACACGGTGTTTAGTTGTGTGAAGAAATATTATATCGAATAGGCAGGTTGGTGGTGGTCCTCTTCGTGATTTTTGTGACCATCGATGATGACATGACGGCGCAGTATTTCAAAATAACTTCAAAACTAACTTAATCTGGGCATGAATATCATCAGTGGATACGATAAGTGCCCCACTGTTATAGAATCAGGTCGAAAGAAGTTTATAAACATTAGATGAAGGTGTACAATTATAATAATGATAATAATAATACAGGAAGATTGAGCAGCAAAGAAATATTTACCTTTTCAATTAGATCCTCCCTCATCTCACTCTCTCTGGCTCTACTCTACTCTAATCAATCAATATACACGTATACACACGCATTTTTATTACAATACACAACCACAAACAATTTACCAATCATCATCAAGTGGCACTGGCATGCTGGTTTGTTTGTTTGTTTGTTAACAATAATTAGTCAGTCAGTCAGTCAGTGTCAACATGTCAAGCAGGCGGCAATGGGGTGATAATTAACGAAGAAAATCAATACACACACACACACACAATCAGAAAGGTAGAAATGGTTAGAATAAATTACAATTT